AGCTAAAAGTACTGCTGTCACTTTGTTTTTATTTTTTTCTAGGCAGAAGTATTCATACAATTAAAACACTAATTTTTAAAGGTCTTATAATTGTAATTTAATTAACTTTTTGCACAGCACACTGCATTGCTATTTAAGGAATTATAGTTGCCTTCTTGATATATCTGATAGTTGCCATTAAGATTTATAAATAAACAGTAACTAATAGAATTACTATGCATTTTTGTGAATGATTAGGTTTTATCATGTTTCTTTGTACTTTGTGTCCAAAGTTACATTTACTCATATGCAGTCCTTTCAGTGTATACTCCATGAAATAATGTGTATGTTTTTTTTAACTTAATGAGTTCTTTCATCTATCATCAATAGATTAGATTAAATGAATGTATCATCTAAAATTACACCATGATTGGAATTGGATTTTAATTTTTATTGACAGAACACTAGGCACCTGCAGTTTTATGTAGCCCATAGTTTTAGTTTGAACTAGCTAGAATCCTCTAGTGTACAGTTTGACGAGTTTCATCTCACCTATTTAGGCTTTTTGGTGGTTTGATACTTGACATCAAAAGGAAAGCACCTTTTTTCTTGAGTGACTTCAAGGATGCATTAAGCCTGCAGTGCCTGGCCTCGATTCTTTTCCTATACTGTGCCTGTATGTCTCCTGTTATCACTTTTGGAGGGCTGCTTGGAGAAGCTACAGGAGGCAGAATAGTGAGTACAAAGATTGGTAGTGGCCAGGCTCTTAGCTCTTCAGAGGCAAGTGTCTGTGTGCATTTGTCTCACTATTCATACTTTTATTTGAAGAGTCCACCCAAACCTGTCCCAAACCAGACTTCCCCCAAGGGTAATTGCTGTGGAAAACATGGGGAAGCCATATGAACAGGAGAAGATGCACTGTTGAGGTAAAAAAAGAAAGGGAAAAAAAAAAGTTTATTCTGCCTTGCTGGATGGAGTGGTTTTATAATTGAGTAAAAGTTTGCATTGTCTTCTGGGAGGGGGTGGGATTTGGGGAAACCAATGGAACTGAGCCTGGGGTGGTCAGGGGCGGATTTACCTTCATCCTGTAAGGGATTATAGGGTTAGTTGTGTGATTAATATTAACTCAGCCCTGGTAGCTAGGGTTAGACTAGATATTTGGGAGCAATAGAACTTAATTGTAGAGATGATAGATTTTTGGAATATAAGATTTTCTATTTTGTTTATATTAAATCTGTATAAAAAATAGCCAAAGATTGTATTTAGAAAATATAATTGAAAGTTATCTTTTAATATGACTAGAAAAAAAAGTTTAGTTTTTCTGTATTTGAAACTATTAGGAACTGTGGTGGTTTGTAAAATCTTGAAAGTTTTTTTTTTTTTTTTTTCCCCAAGGGGGGAGGGCTATAATTTTAAGAGCTTTTTAGATGAAATGATTTGTAATTCTTAAGTATATTGTATTTAATCTTTAATAGTATTACATTTGATGCTTGAACAATTTATATTTTTCTAGATAAAGAATAAAAATTAGTCAAAGTTAAGTGGTATTTGTGTAATTAAGGTTCGTGCTCTGAACATGAAGTAAAGCTGACAACTGAAATTTCCTTTCAACTCTTTATATGTGATTTTTCTATGGTAGCTTTGAACCACTGTATATTCTTAGTAAGTTGCTTTATATGCTGTCACAAATCGTGCCTGTAACTCTGCTGGTCCCTGTGGAAATGTGTGCTGTTACCGTCATGGGAATAACTGCGCCTTGCTCATGGCCTGTCTCCGCCTGCCCGTCTCCCAGTGCTGCTCACACTGTGTGCATGCGGTAGTATGTTAGACGCTGGAGGAGGACGGACAGTGGCACAAGGACTCGTGTCTCCTGACCTCTGGGACCCTGAGGTCAGGAGAAAGGGTGACGTACACATAGTTCCTGTGCCACTGTCCACTGCGATGCATGAGTGAGGTAAAGGCCCGGGGTGGGAGCTGAGGAGTAGAGGCAGAGGAAGCAAGAGTGTTACGGAGGAAAATACTGTGAAGATAGGGTTGGTTTTGGTTGCCTTGTTGGAATTTCAAATAGAAATGGATATATTAGGAGGTACAGTTTCAGAGTTCTAGAGTGATAAGGAAAAATAAACATAAATCATTTAAGTATGGATGAGGGCTGAAACTAAGATAAATGAGCTTAGCAAGGGAGATAACTTAGAATTATGAAAAGGAGGATGGAATGGAAGAGGAAAATATCCCAGTCAGCCAGGTTCAGTTACCATCAGACCCCTTACAAGTTGAATGAGGGTGGCATAATTTTATAAAAACCACACTAGTGATTTTGAGGAGAAGTAATTGACTTAGCGTAGTAGCAGTGAGCACAGCACTGTGTGAGGGAAAGTGAAGGGGAGGCTGATGAAATGGATAGGTAGGGTGGAGACTTGTAAATTGGAAATAAAATAAGGAAGGCAGTGTAATGAACCATTATTTCTTTAGGGAAAGAGCTTTCCGTTTGCTTTCACTTCAAAACTCAAAAACTAGATCACTGGGAAAGGGCAAGGTTTATTTCTATAAATAGGCTGTAGGCATGAAATGAATTGTAATATCTGCTTTCTTAACCCAAGGAGAAACTTAATGTTCTGTCCCCCTGTACTTGTTAACGTGGTGGTGGTGGGGTCTCTCTCTCTTTCTGTGTCTCTGTCTCTCTGTCTCAGTCTGTCTCTCTCTCTCTCCCTCTCTCCGTCTGTCTGTCTGTCTGTCTGTCTGTCTGTCTGTCTGTCTCTCTGTCTCTCCTTTCTCTGGATAACATTTACGTATTTTTAAAATTTTAACTTAAGTACTGCCTGAATCTTTTCCTAAATAGTGTATTCTGATAGAACTAAGGATTCTGTGGTGGCTTAGCTGTGTCTTCTAGCACAAACTTATTTTCCTACAGACAGGAACACAAATTTATCCAATATCGTGAACAAATGTATGATTGATACGGATGTTTTTCCTTCATGTTGCCAAAAGACAAATTTGTATATGGAGTTACCTCTGTTTTTATTTTAATAGTTGATTCGTACTTGTATTGTCTGCTATTATTTTGTGATACTGATTTTCAAAGATGGTATTACAGTTCATAAGAACTGCAGCTCCATGTATTATTTTCCGTTTGCAAAGCTCTGTGCTTGTTAGGTGTTTTCATAAACATTAAAGTTCTCCTACATCATTACCCTCGCTCAAAATGAGACAGCCTGTAGGCCTGTGTAGTCCTGGTCACAGTCCTGGGCAGTACCCCATACCAGCCAGTCTACATCCACCCCTAAAGCCTGGCTCTGCTACTGCTACTGTGCTTCCTTTTGTTTCAGGAGTAGGTTTTTTGTTTTGTTTTACCAACTTCTTTCTCTTATCTTCACCAAGGATGGACTTTCCTTTCTAGGTAGTACATTCCAATTGTTGATATTTGTGACTAGCAAACTGTTTCTTGCTGATTCATCCTTTTGTGTAGTGGCATAGTGTATCAGTACCCTTTACTATTTCATAATTAATCCTGTACAAGGCTTGGTAAAAATTTCTGTGATCCTTCCATGTTCTCATTTTACCTTTCTCTCCTCCCCAGCTTTAATGATAAAATACTTCATTTATGGTTGCTGTGAAGTTTTAGATTTTTGGCATGTATTTTATGTTAAGTATTTCAGTTTTTGATAAGAATTAATTAAACCTATCGCATGAGTTGCTTTACTATATGTGAAAAATTGCTCTTTAAAAATCAGCTTGAAAAAGATAGGGTCAGCTAGGTGTGATGGCTCATGCCTGTGATCCCAGCACTTGGGAGGCCGAGGTATGAGGATCCCCTTGAGTTTGAGACCAGCCTGAGCTACAAAGTGAGCTCAAGGCCAGCCTGTGCTGCATGGCAAGGCCCTATCTCAAAAAAAAAAAAAAAAAAAAAGAAAAAGAAGAAAAGATTTGGTACATGTTAATTTGCTTTGTTCAAAGATTTTTTAGCAGCAACAGCAGCATTTTGAGTATTTAATAAACTACAGAAATCATACAGAAATGTTAAAAATTCATGACCTTTCTTACTTGCCATGTACTTAAAAGTAAACTATCTATAGGTAAAGTTGAAGACCTGTGTGTGTTTCTCCCATGTACTTTTTGCAACTTGTGTCTCATAGTGTTGAGTTTTGAATTAAAGGTAATTGCAGAAAGTTTCACTTAAATATGCAGAAAGCAATTTTCTTTTTGTATTTAAATTGTTTGTAATTTTCTGTGTTTAAAATTGACTCTTAATTTGTTTGCTTTATACACACTTGGTTAGCATTTTTATGTTCTAGATATGTAATGTGTACTGTGTAGTAGGTTAGAGAGATGCTTGTGATGCATTGCTTCTATCCATTTCTTTTTCCTTGAACAGAGTGCAATAGAGTCTCTCTTTGGAGCATCGTTAACTGGGATTGCCTATTCATTGTTTGCTGGGCAACCTCTAACAATACTGGGGAGCACAGGTCCAGTTTTAGTGTTTGAAAAAATTTTATTTAAATTCTGCAGGTAAGTTATAATTCTCTGCTCATCATGTTTGCATATATGTATACTGTATAAAGTATATGTGTACTATTAACTTAAAGTTCATTATGTATTATATATATATATATATATATATATATATATATATACACACACTTGGAATGATCTGATTAGCACATGTGTTTTCAGTATTTGGGGGCAATTGTGGTTGATCCTAGCAACATCCTACCAAGGCCCCTACCACTACCCCTGTCTCAGTAAATGGAAAATAAGGTTATTCTTTAGTATAAAATAGTGGATTTGAGTAGTAACAAATTAAGTAAAAGTTCTTTGTACTAGTGAGAAGTTGTTTATCTCAATTTTTTGTCAGGTAGTGTGTTGTTCTTATATGGGAGTTTAGAAAGAGTTGGTTCTCAAAGGCTCACACTGACTATAGCAGTCATCCTGTTTACCAGATAGGACCTGGGGAATGAAGCAGTCAGATCACAGTGTCTGTTTCCACTGTCTGGGTTGTTTGTAGTATAGATAAAAAATACACTGTTCTGTAGTTAGTAGACTTTCAATTTTATGCTGTTTCTGTCCTCACAAAAATGTATTGAGTATTTTAGCCTGAAACAACTTGATGGCAGTTACATACTTCACTGTTCTTGTCTCATTCTGTACTCCATTAAATAAGCTGATACTGCATCTGCTCTGTCATACCACATGGATTAATAGAGAATGAGATGGGCTGAGGTAGACAGCCTGTTAGTAATTATATATTTCAAACTTAAAATTAGAAATCAGTTTACATGGTGATAATGGTGGGAGGGAAGTATTGGTGGACTCTCCAACCCATTGGAGCGAGGGTGTCTTTTTAGCAAATTGACACAGTTCTTCAGGATCCTCAGAGAGAAGTAGATACAGTTGGTCTTGTATCTGTCATTTGCTCTCATAACTGATTGCTAATGTGAGGACCATTGATTTTGAAATACTTATCCAGAAGATTTTCACCATGGATCTTTTATGTTAATTTAATAACCAACAAGTCATCAATTGAAGAAAAATACATGGAGTTCAGTTTAGTGATTTTATCATTTTGTAATTCACCTTTTTTAGGAATTATACATTTTTGTATTTTTATTGCTTGATATCAGTAATTTTAGCTGTAACTACTGTTCCTCATACATATATTGATCATGCCCACATTTTTATTTCTAAACAGAGATTATGGCCTTTCTTATCTGTCTTTGAGAAGCAGTATTGGTCTGTGGACTTCTTTTTTGTGCATTGTTTTGGTTGCAACAGATGCAAGCAGCCTTGTGTGTTACATCACTCGATTTACAGAAGAGGCTTTTGCTGCTCTCATTTGCATCATCTTCATCTATGAAGCTTTGGAGAAGCTCTTTCATTTAGGAGAATTATATGCGTTTAATATGCACAATGATTTAGAAAAACTGACCACTTACTCGTAAGTACTTCTGTTTCTCTGTAATATTAAAATGCCAGTGTCAGAGCTTAGGAAAATGGAGTTTTAGAAGTGTGGTTTTTACTGTGTCTAGCTGTACCAGTCAGCCATAAAGTAGTTCACATATCTGTTTCCCATGAGGTTTTGTTCCAGTGAATATAAATACAGTTGGTCAAGTTCATTCATTTTTGTCAGTGAGGTAACTTATGCATATATGTTGAATGCTTCATTGAAGTTGGACTGGCCACTTTAAATTTACAATTACCCTACCATAAATGAATATTAGGCAGTTGTATTGGATCTTATAGTCCTTAACCAAATCTGAGGCATGTAGTAGGATGTGGGGTTTTTTAATATGCATATATTTACTACAGTTTGCATCTTCACTAATTTTTTGAAGTTTATTAATATTTACTGAGTATCTTTAGTACAGTTTTACTGTATTATATTTATGGATTATTTTCTTTGAGAGAAACATTAAAATGATTTTGAACTCTAAAATAGAATTTGAAAAAAACAGAATTTGAAGAGTCATACACAGTTGTTATGAAACATTGGTAGATGCAATCAGTAAAAAGTAAAATTATCGAAAAAAAGGACTCTATCTGGTGACTTTATCAGGCATGCTTGGTGTAAATATGATATTACGTTTGATGGAATTACAGGGAGAAATGTCATCAAAACCAAACAGGTAAACAACAACAAAACCAACAGGTGCCAACCTATCTTGTCCCAGCCACCGGAGCCCCAGCCCCTCGCGTCTCCCCTCCTCTTTCCCTCACACTTCTGCTTTCTCCCCTGCCACTTTCCTTTCCCTTCCTTGCATGCCTTTTTCTGTTAGGGACAAGTGGGGAATGGGAATGAAAATTCCTGTATATCCTTGACTAATTTTAAAACATAAAGACACTTAGATATCAAATCTATAGCCTTCTATGTTTTATATATTTCTCTTTTGCTGTTCTGACTTCTCTCTTTCCGTGCCCCATGTTTTTTTGACTTTTTGAAGCAAGATTTTTATTGTTAGTGATAGCCTGTAAGTACGGTATTTTTTGTTGTTGTTGTTGTTGAGTTTTCCATGTTAACTGCATTCACCTAACATTTTATGAGTACCTGCAGATACCGTGTTCATAGTTGCCTGATTCATACTGCAGTGTTATCACCATGATCCCTTTCCTTGTGCAGAAAATGAAGCTCTTGGAGGTTAAAACTTTTAAAGCAAAGAGCTGATACATAATAGAGCCTGAGTGGGATCTAAATCCAATTTCTTGCCTTTTCTCAAGTAGTTCATAATCTAATAAGTGTCCATGTTTATTTCTTTTCATTATTTATTTATTTTTTAAATGTATTTAGTTAGTACAGGGTCTCATAGTGATCCTCCTGTTTTCAGCCTCCCAAGTGCTGGGATTACAGGTCTGTGCCACCATGCCCAGACTCAGTGCACCCTGGGGGCAGGGCCAGCATGGCACACTAGGGTTGGAGCCCTGGTCCCAGCATCTGCCCAAGTAGGTGTTTTAATCCACTGAACTATGTGGCTGGCTTCATTTTTTAGATTTGTATTTCAAGGTTTCTTTGACTTGAATTTCTAACTTTTTAGGCAGTGGAAATAGTTCTAGAGAGGAACTAAACTCTGATTTTATCATTCTAATTCCTTATGAAAAACTTTATTTTAGTAAGAATGTTACATTTATATACAGTGGAGTACTACTTTGTTATAACAAACAAAAAACTTGAGTAATTTGTGGGAAAAGAATGCTTGAGACCATAATGTTGTTAGATAAATCAGACACACAAGCTTAAATATCACGATTTCCCCTTATAAGGAAACCAAATTATAACTAAAATGCAAAATAAAAAAGAGATAATAGGAAGTGGGGAGCTGGATCATCCTCAGATGAAGAGAAGAAGGTGGTGTGAGGGGAGGAAAGTGGATGAGAAAAGAATGAAGGTGGTTGTGTGCACATACCACCTCCACACAGATTGTAAGCCGGCACTGTAAATGGGTCTGATTTCTAAAAATGAGTCTTGGACTGGGGATATAGCTCAGCAGCATAGTGCCTGCCTGGCAAGTGTGAGGCCCCAAGTTCAATTCCCAGTACCAAAAAAGAAAATATTAAAAGAAAAATGTATTAAAATAAAGTTTGAATATGAGTAGCAGGGCTTAATGAATAGGGCTTAATAGAGCTTAATATTAATAGCAGGGCTTGGCAGAACAGGAGGAGACAACAGTTACTGCTGTGGAGAATGAGGAGAGAAGGTGCAAGGAGAGTAATCTTACTTAAGAACATGGTAATATTATCTGAAAGTTTTTAAAAGAAATTTGTAAGATGACCCCTTCCCCAGACATATTTGACCAGTTTGATTATGCATTTTATCAATATTTGTACTGTTTCTAATACCACCCAAACGCATTTTCTTCTTTTTATTATGCTTTTCATTCCTAATCCCCACACTTAGCATCATGGAAAAAAGTTTAAATTAAAAGCTACTACTTTATACAAATGCTTTTGTAAACATGAACATAGAACGCAGGACCTTAACACTTTGTACTACCCTTCGTTTCCAAGATGTGTGTGTGCCGCACCTCCGGATCCTAGCAGTGAGACCCTAGCACTGTGGAAGGAGAAGAATTTAACTGTACATGGTATTTCTTGGCCAAATCTCACTGTTCCTGTAAGTACATTATGAAATAAAGATTTTTTGTCGATATTATTTTAATGTTTCTTTAGCGTTTTCTCAGTATATTTAAATTTTCTTCTTGATGAATGGATTTGTAATGTGCTTTCAGAATATAGTGTTTTAACCAAATAATGGTTACCACTACTATTTGGGGAGGAGCTAAAGACATTAAAAAGTACAGGCTGAAATGAATGAAGCTTAAGAGACATAAAAACGGGTATTTCCCTTTGAGGGCAGAATTATGCAAAAATGTGATTATGCTTGAGACCCTTGTCTAATTCTTAGAGGTTAGTCTGATTTAAGTGCTAAGAGAACAGGAACGAACAACAACGGCAAAACATGTTATATGAGTACCTACTATATGCTAAAGCTAGTACAGCTATTTTGTAACATAGTCATGAGCAAGACAAGGCTGTGAATTGGGAATAAATATGCAGTACTGTGTTAGTACTCAGAAATGAAATTAAAACCAAGATTCCCTCAGCTTCTGTGCAGTTTTAAACTTAAAAAAAAAAATCTCTTTCTCACTAAAGGTAATGACCACTAGCCATATAATTTTCACCTGAGGTTTTATTCCATTCTTTTTTATTTTTTGTTGTTACCAGGGATCAAACTCAGGACCCTGTGCTTGCCAGGCAAGCACTTATTCTACTGAGCTATGTCCCCGGACCCTCCATCCCAGTCTTAATGTAAAGCTATGCTGTCTAATATGGGATAGCTATTAATAGTACATGTATTTAAGTTAAATTAATAAAATCAACAAAAATTAAGTTTTTAGTGAATAGCCCAATTTCCAAGTGTCTAGCTGTCGGATGGGGCCAATAGCTTCTGCACTGAACATGCGAAGATACACCATTCTGTTACCGAGCGCCTTGTATGGTGCTGATTTGAAGCAGTGGCACTCAGTAGTCAGCTTAGATTCATCCTCTTCTATTTTAAAGTCATTTTTAAGTGATAGAGGTGTAGTTAACAAAGGTGTTCAAAAGTGATTTGTAAAAGAATGTTTTTCATATTTAATGACTAATAAAATGACTAATATTTTATCAATGAAATAATATGAACAAATTGTTGCATAAGGAAAATAATTCATTGATGTTAAAATAAAGCTGAGGTCGTTTCAGTGTGTTTTCTTCATATCCAAAAGACCATGTTAGGTGATTGTTTTTGTAGCTTTTAATTCCATGATCCAGAGATTATACTAGGTTTGCTATTCTCAACACATGGAAATGGAAAATTAGTGGGAATTTTAATCTTTTAGTGAGCTGAAAGATTTTTTGTTTTCTCATTTATTCAAATGAGTTACATTTGTAAGCATATGAGAAGAAAGCCTTCAGAGTCATGTGCTTTTTGTTAATTTCTCATTGCCTTTCAGCTGCTTTTTCTTTTAAAAGGAAAATCAAGTCATTAGACTTTTATAATTCTTTTCATTATGCAACAATTTGTTCATATTATTTCATTAAGGAAGTATTATTTTATTGGTCATTTTATTAGTCATTAAATACCGTGTTTAATCCCAGGTCTTTCATCAAATCAGAAGAGCTAGCCACAGTTTTTACTGCTGACTTCAGTTTAATATTATAGCTTTCTCCTCTGTCATAAAAGGGCATGGTAGCTATAAACCACCCATGTGGGACTTCTAAGGGAGAACAGTAAAAGTCTGGACAAACAAGAATGCATGGGCAATATGTTTTGGAGTTCAGTAGTGATTCTGAGTCGTTCACTCAGGGAAGTGTAGAAAATAGTAACTTGGGCGAGTACTGTTATTTCAGTGATTCATGTGGGGAAATAGACATTGCTGAACTCAAGATGTGTCTTATGACTAATTGATAATATGTTGTAGTTGGCTTGGTAATGTTCTTTCTAAGTGAGACATATAATTTACATCTTAGAGTCAGTGAAATTCATTAATAATTTACTGAATATTTGAAAATTCCTTCCATTTCCCTTTTCTCCTCTTTTTTTGTTTTTCTAGGAGTGTAAAACCTTGCATGGTGTGTTTGTAGGGTCAGCTTGTAGTCACCATGGCCCTTATATTCCAGATGTTCTCTTTTGGTGTGTCATCTTATTTTTTACAACCTTTTTTCTGTCTTCATTCCTCAAGCAGTTCAAGACCAAGCGTTATTTTCCTACCAAGGTAACTGGGATAAACTTTGGTATTCTGGTAATACTTATTTTTTAAAGTTTTCACTATCTTGGCTTGTTCCAAAAACAGTATTCCTCTTTAAGGGTCATTCTTTATACCAGATAATATTGAAGAAATTATTTATAGTGAAAAATGTGCCTGAGCTCACCATAGAAATATGGTACCATGAAATAAATGGTAGGGTACTTGTGAATTGTGGGTTTTTTTGGGTAAGAATCAGATATAGATGTGTGTCACTGCTTATACCATATTAGTTTAAAATACTTTTCATACTTTTTAGTGAAATTTTATCTTGAAAGGTGATTTATTTAGAAAGGACACAGTATTTTTGTGTTTGTATTAACATGGTCCCTTTAACATAGGTGCGGTCGACAATCAGTGATTTTGCTGTGTTTCTCACAATAGTAATAATGGTTGTCATTGACTACCTTGTAGGAGTTCCATCTCCTAAACTTCATGTTCCTGAAAAATTTGAGGTGAGGATTAAAATTTTAAGTGGCTGTTTGTTACTTGAGAATATCAAACTATTTTGAATTTAGATACTGCCTTCTGAGTATTTAACATCTATGATAAAGATTTAAGAGCTCTTTTAAAAATGGATTCTACTTTCTTAGCTAGAGTTTCTGTTTCTTTTTAGTGCCTGTTAATATTACCTGGTTGGCTGGAGTTCTGGATGTACTTTCCAAGGAAAATTATTTCTTTATAAATTTCTATTCTAGAAGGGCAGTTTATCTGCCAGTAATTAGAGAGCTCCATCAATAGGAACTCAAATGTGTTCCCTAGGAAAAATAATCTGTAATGAAGTCTCCGCTTGAATTCTTTACTTTGATTGGCAGATTTTCTTTTCAAGTGTGCCTTGAACATGAGTTGTAGCTGTGTGGATCCATTTGTGTGCTGCTTTTTTCAAGGAGATTTGTTGTAATTTTGAATAAAAAACTATAAGAACTACATAGTCTAGAAATGTTGAAAAAGGTAGGTTGTGAATGCTTAAGACATACTGATGTATTTTCCTGTAATCCTAGTCCAGTGTCTTATCGGTATTCCTAAATACTTGTATATTGATGCAACCTTTAGAGCAGACTAATTTTAGGGTGCATAAAATATACTTGGGTAACCAAATTATGGAACACAAAAATAAATACATTTATTTATATACATTGTTGAATGTGGAGCCATTTTTATATATGTTTGTGAGAAAGTGGGAGTACTTGAACTTTCAAAATACTTCTTTTTTGTACTAATGAATTCAGTGTCTTAAGGAAAAGCAAGCTTAATATTGAGTATAGATATTAAAAACATATGTTTACTTTTAAACACATTTACTGTTCTCCAGAAGTATTCAGCTTTCTTGTGATCTTATAAAATTTTTGGCTATAGTAGTAAATTTTATGTCACAGCATCAAAATCTGTGAGTATCTGATAAGGTACCAGATTTTTGTCAGTTACTTTGGAAAAATAATGTGTCCAGGGCTCCTTTTGACTTAGTACCAACCTTGGCAAGATCACATGTGTCTAGGACCTCTGAAGCAGTTAAATTGGACAGTTAAACTAGTGCGCAGATTATGAAGTACATCAGGCCGCGTTGAAATGATACTGTTTCGGTCTTTGCCTGCATAACAAAATCCCTAGAAATGCGGTCTCCAAACAACAACTTTCTATTTGCATGTGATTTTGTGCTCATTGCGAGTGGGATTGGCTGGCTCTTGATCTTGTCTGGGCCCTTTGTATAGCTGTTTGACATTGAGTAGCTTCTTGGAATACTGTGGCTTCGTGTACACTTGTGGGGACTGGGCTGAGCAGTTGAAGTAGCTGGGTGGTGCTTGTTTCCTTCCCTGGCCTTCCTCACCATTTTATATTAAGTACATTGTATTATGTTCCCAAGAAAGCTTATCTAGGCTTATTCAACAGCATAATTGTCTCATGGTTCCAAAAGCTGTATGGTTTCTTGGGGTCAGCATTTGGAAGCCACACAGTATCTCTTTGGCTTTATTCTGTGGATTAAAATCATAAAGTTATTCCAGGTTCAGGGGAGAAAGGAAGTACCCCACAAGAGTTACAAGTCAGGTGACAAGGCCATGTTGTCTGCAAATAATCCAGTTAGCTGCCATTGAGTTCTTACAGCCCCACACTGTGCTGTGGGAATAGAATGCAATAGAAGAACAAAACTTAAAAAACAATTTCTTTTTCCTTTTCTTTTCTTTTTAAATTTTCCAACAGCCCACTGATCCCAGTAGGGGCTGGATCATAAGCCCCTTGGGAGATAATCCCTGGTGGACCTTACTGGTGGCCGCTATTCCAGCTCTGCTGTGTACCATTCTTATCTTTATGGATCAGCAGATTACAGCTGTGATCATAAACAGAAAGGAGCACAAATTGAAGGTAATATTTAAATTTTGTGTCAAGCATTATGATTTCTTCAGGGCTTTAGGTTTCATAATTGGAACCTGAAGATGTTACATGAAAATAAGTTTTTTTCCCTTTTTACAATTAGTGTAGAATTTCAACCTATTTAGACTTAGAAATATTTCTGTTCATTTTCCTTTCAGAAAGGAGCTGGCTATCACCTTGATCTGCTGATGGTTGGTGTCATGTTGGGAGTTTGCTCTGTCATGGGACTTCCATGGTTTGTGGCGGCGACAGTGTTGTCAATAAGTCATGTCAACAGCCTGAAAGTTGAGTCTGAGTGTTCTGCTCCAGGGGAACAACCCAAGTTTTTGGGAATTCGTGAACAGCGGGTTACAGGACTAATGATTTTTATTCTTATGGGCCTTTCTGTATTCATGACTTCAGTACTAAAGGTAAAACTTTTCATTTGCAGTGCTTTTAAATCTCATTTATCATAGCATTTATACTTACTTGCATTAAAATTAAACATTAAAATGTACTTAAATATCTAAAATCATTTCTATTTTACTTTATAGTTCAGGTTGGCCTTAAACTCACTGTGTATCCCAGGATGACCTGAAACTCTCAGCAGTCTTCCTGACCCAGCCTCTCAGTTGCTGGAATCACAAGTGTGCACCACTGTGCCTGGCTAGATTTTTAAAAATACATTTTCTTTTCTTCATGAGTTACTTTTTTTCCTTCCAAACAAAATTCATAGAAAAACATCTAGGTCAGTTAGGTGAGGTGCACTGCATATAGTTTTCCTATGTGTGGCTAAGTCTGTTTTCCCTTCCAGGCCTCTCATTTTGTTCAGAGTGGTGATTGTGGTTTTGAGTAAATTGACAGGGCCTGTTAATAGCCAAGTTTCCCTTTAGAATGCCTTGGTGTATACTAGGTAGGTGATTTGGGATGTCCATCACGTTGAGTAATAAGGCCTTTACTTTAGAGGTAGAATTCAATTACAGTGTATAGTAAATACAGCTGTGTACAGTATTGGCATGATGGGAAGTATTGGCTTAATCATGATTTCTAATGCCTTTTGAGTGATTGTTTATGTCCCAAGGGCTTTGACTTTTTTTTAAGTATTTGAAATAATATAATTGTTATAGCCAAGTGATAAAAAAAATCAAGTTTGAAATGATTTTTGTTTAAAAAGTGAGCTAGGTTTTTAAACAAAGTGATTTGACTGCAGTTTCTGTTCTTTTAACCATTGCATATACTCTTCAGGAAGGAAAATGTAGACCAATTTTTCAAGGAGTTTATGCTTTTTAGCATTTTCTTAGGTATACAAATATTAGGTTGATCAAATCTTTATCAGTAAAAGATTTTTTAAATTCTGTTACTAAACTTACTTTTCTCTATACTTGTTACTATGTTTTAGTGGTGTATTTAGTAACATTGTGTTTAGTAGTGTTTTGATATTAATTGTGGTAATTTTACTTACAGTTTATTCCGATGCCTGTTCTATATGGTGTTTTCCTTTATATGGGAGTTTCCTCATTAAAAGGAATCCAGGCAAGTCTTAAGTGTGTAATGATTTTGTAGAAACACTTAAAACTAAATACATGAAAATTGTTTTTATGATGGGTAGTGACTTATTATTCTTGAAGGACAAGGAGTTTTTAGCCAAATGACAGCAGCTTACTGTACCCCCTTCAGGAACTGAGATCATGAAGGACAAGGCCCTTCCCTATGTTTAATTAAAGCAAGCAGAAAGCACCTGTAACTCTCAGGAGAGAGTGGTACAGTATGAGGTTGATCAAAAGAATGGGAAAGGGAAAAAAGTGCTGCTTGCAACATGTAGAACGCCAATTGCCATAAAATTTCAGAGTTTAAAGTCAGTTTATTAAAAGTTTCAAAAGGAAGATCTGAGTTTACTCTAACAGTGATATTTATTGCCCTTAGTTTGTATGGCACAATATGACTTAGAAGGCTTAGGGCATATTTTTTTCTGTGGTTCTCAAAATGGTGTTTGAGAAAGAGGAAATGAAAAAGTCTTAATTTTGTAAATCAGGAAGCAAGTAGAGGGACTTAGGAAGATTATTAGTTACATAAGCAGCGGGGCAAGGCCAAAACCCAATTATTTCATGACTTTGTCTTGTTCTTCGTTAATTCTTGAAAAGAACCTGATGACACTTTAAGATTAGTACAGATGTTAGCGGAAAACGTCTAAGTCAGCACAGGTTGTCTCTTTGACCTCTCCTCACAGAAAGGGTGTGGTCCACCATTGCCAGCAGTATGCTAGTGGTGGCAGGAGTTTCCAGGGTAGCTTTTTTAAAGCTTAGTCCAGGATCTCTGCTCCTTATTAGTCAAGAAATGTTCTCATCTCACTTGGTTTTTTATAGCAGTTTTGTGAGGTTAGTAGGGCTGATTGTATTTCTAATTTACAAATGAGAAAATGAATGCACAAGAAACCAAGGAATTTGCCCAAGGTTTCATTTGCAATGAAAGAAAAATTGGTTATTGTCACTTAGATTACCTTAGATTACCTTAGAGATTACCTTAGACATCATTCAGATTGTTACTGATACTAGAAATCAAGTTCAGAGAGATTAAATGACTTGCACATTTGACTGATCTAAATGTTTTATCCTTCCTGTAAAAACATTTTGTGTTAGGCTTTTCTAGTTAATTGCATTTGTTGAATTTGAGCTTTCTCTATTGGGAAATTCTTTCTAAAACAGTCTCCTGTACTATCAGAACATTTCAAGGAAGTTACAGTTTAAACTTAGAATGTAGAACCCTCAATTTGAGTACAATTTCATTTCTGAACACTGGATGTGATATTTGTTGAAAGCTTTCTTTTCCTTTTTTGTTTTGTTTTATTTCTCTTCCATCTAGTTTTTCGACCGCATAAAATTATTTGGGATGCCTGCGAAGCATCAGCCTGACCTTATCTACCTCCGCTATGTACCTCTCTGGAAGGTCCATATTTTCACAGTCATTCAGCTTACCTGTCTCGTTCTTCTGTGGGTGATAAAAGCTTCAGCTGCTGCAGTAGTTTTTCCTATGATGGTAAGTCTTTTCAGATTTATTTTAATATCAATAATATGATAGCATATTTTTATAGTAATTTCTCTCATATTTGTAAAGTATTTAAAGAATTGGCTATTTTAAATGTCTTAGGTATTTAAAGATGTGAATTACTTCTTTGAAGCTATAAACCAAATCTTTCCCAATCTGATTTTTGTGAAATTCTTTAGGTTTGTTTAACTTTTTAGCCTTTGACTGTAAGAGCTCTAGTGTCTTTCGTTTTATTTTGTTCTCCTTTTCATTTGCTGTGGTGCTGGTAGCCAAGCTTGGGGCTTCACGAGTACTAGGCAGCACAGGAGCGCTGAGTTATACTCCGTCCCCAGAACTCTGGTTTTTTATTTTTAAAGACTTTAAAAATGTATGAAATTTGTGGAACAAATGTAATGCCAAATTCAAAAAGAAAACAACTAAAACAACATAGTTCTTTAATAGATTTTAATCTAGAAGTTAAAAAGTTATGAAGACTATAAATAGTTTTAATAAGACACTCTAATTTATTATAAAAGTTAAATATTGATTCTGGCATCAAAAGAATTATTAGCATATTTCTTGAAAATATGATAGTGTACGTCTAGTTAAAATCAAAGAAGACATTAAAAAACCCTTAGTAGAATTATTAGGAATTTTAGAAGACATGAAAATTAGTAGATTGTCTAGTTCTGTAGTAATGTTAGGAAATGGGAAAACATACCTTTTTCTCAGTAGTGATCAAATACCATAACATATTTTAAAATTAACTGAAATAAAAACTTTTAAATAGAAATTTAAAGAAAGAAGTATGTAATAGTAGTTTCTCAGGGCTTGGTTTAAAAGAACGAAAACGTATTGCCTCACAGCTGGGGAGGCTAGAAGTCTGAAATCAAAGTGTGACTGGGGCCACGCTTCTGAATCCTGTGGAGGCAGCTTTCCGCACTCCGTCCGGAGCTTGGGGGGGGGGGGGGGGCGCCACCATTCTTGGCATTTCTTGGCTTGCGGCTGTATTAATTCTCATCTGCCTTTATTATTACGTAGTCTTCTTCCTTTGTGTCCATGTCTGCACGTGTTGTGACATTTTATAATGGAACAATTACTGTCATATTAAGAACCCAGTCTTCTGTAGTATGACATTTTCTTCTTTACATCAGCCTGAATCTTATTTCTAAACAGTATCATGTTCTGACACACTGTGAGTTAGGGCTTCAACTTGTCTCTGGCAATACTGACAGTCAAGCCTAGGTCCTCTGCACTGGGCTATATCTTCATCCCTTTATGAGACAGGATTTCACTGAATTGCCCAAGCTGAGCTTGAATTTCTGCCTCAGCCTTCCAGCATTCTAGGATGACAGCCATGTACTTCACAAGCAACTTCAACTTGTCTTGATTTGATGGGGTAAAAATGCAACTCTTGCAGTAGTAAACAGCATAAAAGCAGACCTGAACTAACAGATAATACCATGTTCTTTGTTATTTCAGTTTTCTGAAGGTAGGTTGTAAATGTAATACAGCTCTAAGCATGAGTTTTACTAGAGTTAATATATGTATTAAGATATAGGGGGTATTGTGAACTACATCAACAGTTCTAAAGTTTATAGAGAAAAATAAATGCTAGACTCACAACAATATGGATGATAGAAATATTGCTGTTCAGTATTGTTAGTATGGGTTATGTGGGTGTACAATTGTTACAGCATCCAGCTGCTCACATGCTGTTTTTCTGTTTTACTATATGTAATTTATATACTTATAAAAAGGTAAAGATATAATGTGTCATAAGGTAACAAAACAAAGATATTTAGAATTATAGAGTGGGGTGAGGAGCTTGTGTGTTTTGTATTGATACTGTATTTTTGGATAATGAGATATTTAAAAATTGCTGTTAGGTCAGTACAGCCAATAAGATGTGGAACTAATATAGCAATAAATATACAGATTGGAAAGCAGACTAATGAGTCCAGAGCTTTATCTAAATATGTACCAGTTCTGTCACTTGGATACAGTTTAAATTATTTTATCACTTGACTTAAGAGCAGTTTATTTCATTTAAAGAGGTTGTCTTATTTCTCTGGGATGTTTTAATGTATGATGTTGGAAGAGTTAACAATGTATACTGGGAGGTGCAAATAAGTCTGGCACTCCTAGCTGACACCGCGTTCAGAAAGAAATTGTAAATGAATTGGTTACTGCTTTTGCTGTCTTCTGCTGCCTTGAACTGTCGCCACTGTGCCACGCCACCCTGCCTTGGATCCAGCTGATCATGGAGTGGAACCTCCTCACAAACAGTGAACTCAGCAAACCCTTCCCTCTTTTTTTTAAAAAAGTAAAATTTTGATAGGAAATTAAAATGAATATTTGTATAATCCAGTCATTGGGAATAACTTCAAAGAAGATAAGTGAAACCAACTGTAAAAAAAAGATAAATATTCTTGACTATAAGATCATTAAATGTTTTTTCTACATAGAAAAGAAATTCATTTATTTATTTATTTTTGAAAAGAAATTTAAAATAGTAAAAATCCGACTATTGGGGAAAATTATTGTAACATAAGGCAAAGTAGGGTTTATATACAAACCATACAAAACTCTTACAAATTTGTATACAAAAGTCAAAAAATGGGCAGGTGAAATGAATAGGCCCTTCTCATAAGAACACATAGCCAGTAAATACATAGAGAAGTATTCAACATTGTTGGCTATTAGAGAAACACAAATTAAAACAACACTGAGATTGCATCTTACCTCAGAAAGAATGACTAAAATCAAGAGATCAAATAGCAAATGCTGGAGAGGCTTTAAGTGTGAAAAGAATCCTTCTACATGGAATGTAACTGAGCACAGCCTCTATGGATGTCAGTATGGAGTTCCCTCCAGAAATTTAGACTAGAAAGTCCTTTTGCCTCAGCTGTTCTCTGAGGTGTCTGCTGGAAAGAGCTAAAGGCATCATATTATAGAGATGCATGCAAACCCATATTGATAGCATCACAGTGCCCGGGAGGTAAATCTTAGAAGTGACTTATATATCCATTGACAGATGAATGTATAATGAATAGGTGATATTTATACCCCATGGAGTAACTACTGTGCCATAGAGAAAGATAAATTTGAGCTCTTGTAGGAAAATGGATGTGTCTTGAGGACGTAATTTTAAGTGAAATAAATCAGACACACAAGCTTAAATATAAACTCAGTGTAAAAATAGTGAAAAATAAATTGCAGGAAATAGTGATATGGGCATTTTGAAAGAGGGAGGGTATCAACAGTTAGAAGGGGGGTAATGAAGAGGGAGAAAGAATGACAAACAGGGATTGGGACATGCTATGTATGTGGGCCAACTCCACACAAAAAATGTAAGCAGTATGTACTAAATACTAGCAAAGTGAAGTAAAAGAAAGTCATAAAAACTAATAGGGGAATAAAAAGGATAGGAATCAGCAAGTTAACAGAAGAGGAAATCCAAACAGCTAACTGATATTTGAAAACATGTTTATTCTTAGCTGCCGAATGAGAAGTCAAATTAATGTCTTTTTCACAAATGTGACTGAAACCTAATGCTGGAAGTAGGTGATCAAATGCATTGCTCAAAAGCTTATTATTTAACTTGTAGGATGTCTTTATGTAAGTTTAATATAGTAACTATAATTACCATGTTTTTCAGTATTAATACAGAGTACAAAGAAATTAAAAGTCCAATTTTGGGGCCCGGGAGAAGGCTCAATAGAATAAGCGCTTCCCTGGCAAGCTCAAGGGCCTGAGTTCGGTCTCCATTTCCACCAAAAAATAAATAATAAATAAAAATAAAAATCCAATTTCTTTTTTTGTAGCTTTTTTAAAAAAGCAGACAGTTCTGAAAGATTAATAGATGACTCAATTTCTTTGCAAAATGATAATGGATAAAATAATTTTTAAGCAAAATATGTGAAGTATTTCCCCATTTTTATAAAATGTACTACATACTTTATTCTTTAAGTACAATTTATATGTAACTTAATATTCTCTCTCCTATCTTTGAAGGTTCTTGCATTGGTTTTTGTACGCAAGCTTATGGACCTGTGTTTCACAAAGAGAGAACTCAGTTGGCTTGATGATCTCATGCCAGAAAGTAAGAAAAAGAAGGAAGATGACAAAAAGAAAAAAGAAAAGGAGGTAGAAAGAACAGTTTTCATTTTTTTTTTTAACTGTTTTCTTATTTAATGTACCATATCGCAGGAACTGTTATAATCACTTTATTTACTGAATTCCCTTAATCTTAATAAGAAGCTTAATAAGGTATAGTTTCTTCTCTCCCTTTTACAAATAAGGAAACTGAGGCAAGGAGACATTAGGTAACATCTTTTTTTTTTTGCGGAACCGGGGATTGAACTCAGACCCTTGTGCTTGCCAGGCAAGCACTTATTCTACTGAGCCATCTTCCTGGCCCCTAGGTAACGTCTTAAATACCATCTTTTCTCCACAGTCTTGCCCCTCTGTATTTCGAACACAAACTATTTTTGTATATTTCATATGTAAGAAGTTTTAAAACATGGATAACAAAAAATCTGTTATTGTCTGATTTAACTGTAAGTACATTAGCTACATTAATTTTAGCATACATTTTAATCTGGTATACATACCAGTAAAAGTTTTAAATATATATATATGTTTTTAAAAAAAATGTATAGTAGAGCTGGGGATAAATGTAGCTCCGTGGCATAGCACCTGCCTGTTAAGCACAAGGTCCTAAATTTGAGTCCCAATACCAAAAACAAAACAAAACAAAAAAAAAAAACCCAACACACACACACACACACACACACACACACACACACACATATATATATATATATATATATATATATATATATATATATATCACTTCAGCCTCCCAAGGAGTGTTTGGAACCAGTCCCAGCTAAAGTGTGGTCTTCATGTGGACTGTTATGTGCTGTGCCACTAGTTGACTTGTAGATTTAGATATATGCATGAGTATACGTGAAGGCTTCACTCTGAATCAGTTTTTTTAATTCTTCATATGATGTTATCACCAGAGGAAAGAAAAGTACAGAATAAGTATGTAGCGCAAGTGACTTTATTGACTGTAGTGCTATACTTAATTTCACATATACAGTATTGTTTGAAAATCAAAGATAAGAAAGATACACATTTTTAGAGGTAGAAAAATTACCAAATGTTTTATTTTTGGCAAAAATTGTAACTGATTTTGGGGCTATTTTTTTGTTATTTATTTATTTCTTTCCATAATTTTATTGAGAAACAAATAGTAATGAGACAGTTTCAAACCAAATTGGTAGGACAGTTTCAATAATTCACACATTGCATACATTCTTCCTAGTGGTTAATTGCTGTACAAGATGCAGACATAATATCCTATTTGCAAACACCATTAGAACAAATCCCTCTATTCATTAAGAGAATGTAACTATATATCTATCCTAACCATTTTGAATACAGATACAAAATGGACATTCATCTGTATCCCTTTTTTTTTGTTTAGTTCCGTTATTTGAATATGATAGGTGTGTTAACTCAGCAAAATATTCTAAAAGAGTCCAGTGATCCATAATAGTATTGGGTCTTCTGCATGACTGGCAATGTCAGAAATTGTTGACCTGAGTCCCCTACAGCTCAACATAACAGCATGGCTTTACTTCCTATACTTCGTTTTTATACTTTCCTGCTGGATGATTAAGACCAAGGTAAAGCAGGACCTGTGCAACAAGAGTTGTAGCTTTTGGGTCTGACAAGGTCAGTGAAATCCCCTCAGGATTTATCCTGAGATCCCGTACCTCAGATTGTAGATCCTTTGTCAGTGTCAGCCATGTGGATGAGTCACGACCATTGCTTGGCCAATGGCGCTGTTTCTTTGAATGAGGCTCCAGATGCTTGTTTTCATTGAAGCATTTATGTTTGATGCTTGTTTTCATTCAAAAATACATATTAACATTTTTTATTTTCTCAATAGGATATAATATATTTATAATAAACTTTGGTCATACGATACAGTTTAATGACATATTATACAAAGCAAAAGTAAAAGTGACCTTTTTTGAAAGTAAAAGTGACTTTTAAACACAGGATGTATTTCTTCCATGGAAAAGAATTTTCAGAAGCGTGTGGTGAGGCGCTGCAGCTCACTGAGTCATCAGGGACCCTCGTTACATTCCTTGTGCTCTCGGTGTGTAGGAGGATCTTGTGTCTCTTCCATCCACAAGATCACCTCCTCGGCCAGAATGGCTGCTGATTTTCATCTCCCAAGTTAGCTATCAAGAGTATTTCGAAAACATTGTTCAATAAGTTCTGTCTCTACATGTGTCCCTGATCTGCAATAAATGGTGGGAAATTTATGTAGTGATTCATTCTTTGTTTTATGTAAAAAATTGGCCACCCTGTCACCTACATGTAGTGGGACCTGTTAGAAGAGCAGGAAGGACCTTTGTCTCGTCTGTACTGCCGTATTCCCACCCCCTTATTAAGCTGTCACAATTTTAATCTCTGCTTCCTGTTTGAGTCTCATCTTCCAGGGGATATCCCATCTGAGTTGGGACATTTTTGAATGTCACAGTCAGAGAAGATACTTGGGCGGTCAGTGCATAGGCCCTAGGAAGCTGCAGAATTTCCTGTGCATACATAGGACCACCTCTTGCAGCCAAGAATTATTAGTCTAACTATTAGTATTTCTGAGGTTGAAAATCCTGCCACATACAAATAAGGTTTTAATCATGTTGTATTGTTATGAAAAAATAGGAGCCTCCTTGAAATTTTCTGTCATGTAATAACTAACACTCAAAGTTATGTAAATTGATTTCAAATAGCATTGATTCATTTTCAGAAATGAAATGTTATACCATTTAAAATTAATTTCTGTAAGTGCTTTTCAATTTATGCTATGTATTCATAATTATAAAATGATTTTTCATTTATGTCAGATATATTACATTTAAGTAATGTCACTGTGAGTTTCTAAGTCTTTAAGATGTTCTTATTCCTGTCCTCTTGAAAATGTTCTGGGAAAAGTAATCTCTACACCCACCTGCTCTCCAGGAAGCTGAACGCATGCTTCAGGAGGATGACGATACTGTGCACCTTCCGTTTGAAGGAGGAAGTCTCTTGCAAATCCCAGTTAAGGCCCTCAAATATAGGTGAGGTCTATTTTGTAAAAAAAAAAAAAAAAAAAAAAACATACCTATGTCAAGTGCGTGAATAACTGATGTAATGATTAAAGTAATGATTTCTGTTTTTAAAAGAAAAAAGTCTTATGTCTGACATATGAAGTAAAAGGGAGCTTCACACAGTTGGAAAAGGAAGTCCTTGGTCTTTTTCAGCCAAGGTTCTAGCAAGAGCGAAAAAAGCTGCCGCTGGATGAGAGCCTTCAACTAACTGTTGTGCCAAGCCAACATGATTTACTTGTCCAAAGGAAGTTTAAAACCAGGATACAAGTTTCAGAATAGTTCTACCCATTTTTCTAGTCAGAATAGTACTCCTTTTTCTTTCCTGTCTTTAAGAGACCTACGAACGGTGTCTGCTAGAAAATAAACAGTGATCGTCCATTTTCTGATAACTCACAGTTTGTGCCTGTGCGGAGGCTCTAGCGCTCTCCTAGTTCCCAAAGGTGTGATTGCACTGTTGACAGTGAAGGCACCTACTATGGGAAATTATGAGTGCCTTTCATTGGTAGATCGTGATATAATATTTTAGTGATAAAGACTTTGGAAAAAATGCATTTTTATAGCTTAAAAGATTAAACAAAATACATTATTTGCATATACTTTGGTTTGTATTTCTACACATTCCCATTTCTGATGAGCTATTTAGAGTTGAGAATTTAGTTGCACAATGTTTATAACTTCCTTCTCTGACCAGTTAGAAAAAGTTCATTGGTACAGTATTTAACTTGTTTCAACCATTTTTTCATCCTTATTTTTTATAGTTTTTACAGTCACATTTGGTCTTGTTACATGTAGGTCAACAGTGATAAGTGAGTTAATCAAGTAATTATCTTTTGTACTTTTTGCTATTGATTTCTACCAGTGATATTATTCTGTATTAATGTTTCATGACTTTCTCTTTAATATTCCTATACTTTACAAACTACAGAATTGATCTCTGAAAGTATAGCTTTCCATATACTTTAAATTCAGTGCCAAGTATAGCAGTTTTACTTGGTTTGATTTTGGGGTTTTTTTTTGTAGGGAAGCGTCTGCAGGATGTTCAGGGTCTCACTACTAGATCGGACTCATAGTGATATGCCTGTTTACAGCCTCCCAAGTGCTGCGATTACAGGCACATGCCACCATGCATAGTCTCAAGTATAGCTGTTTTAACTTATCCAGTTATGATGGACTGCTTTTCAGGTTTCATAAATGTGTATTATGTGAATTTTATTGGTTTTACCACTAAAAAAAAAAATAGTATAGCGATTGCTGCAATGGTGGTTAGTAACTGAGTTTCTTAAGGTCATTTGTCAATTAATTTCTATCTTGCTCTGTCATTTTCTCAGTGTAACTGTAGAGAACTTCACAATTAAATGGAATTTATATTGTCTGTTACATAGCAAAATGAATATCGGAGTTTTTTCCTTTTGTTTTTTGAATGATTCATTGTTAATGTTGCTTTTCTTAAAGTTGCAATATCAAGAATGCCAAAAACAGGCTGGCCAGATAGCTCAGTGGACTAAAGTGCCTGCTTAGGCAGAGCACAGTGGCTAGGGTTCGATCCCCAGCATGCCGTGCCGGCCCTGCCCTGGGGCGCACTGAGAGAGTGATTGAGACTGGGTGTGGTGGTGCGCCTGTAATCCCAGCGCTTGGGAGACTGAAAACAGGAGAATTGCTGCAAGTTTGATCTACGTAGTGAGACCCTATAGGCCCTGCTGACCCTGTACCAAATACATTAAAAAAAAGAATGCCAAAAAATGGCTAGCCTATTTTTTTTTTCCAGAACTTTGTAAATGCCTTTGGATTATGTGCCATGAAGATCAAATGAGATAGTATATGAAAACATTTGGAAAATGTAAAGCTCTTTGAATTATGAAAACGATTTATATAATATAGGCAAGTTCTTTTCATCTAGTTTCATTTTGAGATAAAATATATACTGTATTCAAAAAAGGGTGTTCATTTCTTCAAATGGGAAAATTCTTACATAGAGAAGGATAGAAACTAGAAACCGCATTGGGAATTCCTCTCTTCATTTACCCGAAATTGACAGCCAAGTAAATAAATGTTATCCAAGGCTGGAGGAGTTGCAGGCTGCATGGCTCTGCCATTGTAAATTTGGGTGTTTTTTTCCATAAGCCTGTCGCACTTCTCTAGAATCTTAAATTTTAAGCAGCATTCTGACAAAGTATCAACAAAACTAGTATGGCTACTTAACCACTTGTAACCAAGCCACTGCCACATTGTTCATTTAACATGGTCTAATTTACCTTATATATGTAACTTGTTTGCATGAAATATTTTTCTTTTAGTGAAGAAAAAATGAAAGATATTTCTGTTAACCTTATGGTATTTACATATACGTATGACTGATAAACTTGAGCCCTAACTTAACTATTTATGGATATCATTATTGTTGGATTTGGGATCTTTAATTGATTTTTGCAGTAATTCATAGACATCTAGATTTGTTACATTTATCCCTTATAATAAATGGACAGTACATCTTTTGATTTTGTTAATTAATAAAAATAATATGCATGTTAAAAATGTGACTGGCAGCCAAAATGAGACTTACAAAACTTTTCTACTATTATTTTTTAAAATACTTTCGGAACTTTGTTCTCAGTTGCAATGTGTCATTGTTCTTTTTTATTTTTTCATTGTACTTTTTTGAATGACTTATAATAACTATGAAAAACAAGGTTTTGTTTAGTCTTGCTAATTTTTTTCTTTTTTTCTTCCTTTGGCTATAGTGCTGACCTGCCCTCAAATACACTGTCATGCCTTAGCCTTGCAAGTGCTTAAGATTACAATATGTTTTAGTTTTATCATAATTTTTTTTTTATATTGTGGTTATTGATTTGAGGAGACTGAAATTTGTGCCAATGAAAATTTCAAATTGATAGTTTTATAAACATATATTTTATATTATTTCAGTAATATATAGCCAAGATGACCAGAGGGCATCATTACTGGAATATTACTAAAGTACCATGGAAACCCCAAATCAAGCTCTAAAGCAAATTCCATAAATAAATCTTGCTACTTTGTTTGTTTGTTTGCTTGTTTGTTTGAGGCAGGACCTTGCTATGTAGTCCCAGCTGGACTTTGATTCGCTTTGGAGACCAGGCTGGCCTTGACCTTGTGGCAATCCTGCCTCAGCCTCTCAGACTAAGGCTTGCGCAACCATGCCCAGACAAACCTTGCTGGTTTAATTTTATTCTGTTCTAATTATAAATAAAGATGTAATTCGTTTTAGGATTCTGATATCTTGCCAGACCTTGATTTAAGTGCATGATAAGGATTTTCTCAATTTTATGTTGGTGAAGGCAAATAATCATGTAGGTATTAAAATGACAGTGTTAATGCTTGGCAGGTGCTGAGTACTAATCATAAAGTGTATTTGTTCCTCAGTGTTGATCCCTCAGTGGTTAACATATCAGATGAAATGGCCAAAACTGCACAGTGGAAGGCACTTTCCATGAACACTGAGAATGCCAAAGTAACCAGATCTAATGTGAGGTAGTTATGACTGTTTATGCATTTTCTACCTATCGTCAGTTTACCTACAGAGAGCTATGCCGTAAAATCATCACACCCAATTCTTTTCCTTACTTATTGAAGCTAATCTTCCTGCTTTTCTCCTTCATTTCTTCCTTTTGTCTTTTCATTTTACTGTTATACTGTAGCACAATTTTTAAATTTACATAGTTCATATTTCAGAAAAGAATTTAAGCTATTTTTATTAAAAATAAAATTTCATATAGCAGCATAAAATAGATGCATAAAGTTTAACAAACATAAAGGTAAATACTAATTACAAAAGAAATATTCTAATTGAGCACTGTCTCGATCACACTTTTTGCTGGTCGAAGACAATGAAAACCCAGTTATTTTTCATCTTAGTTTTGATTTGTTTGGCTTGTCTTGGCTTTCATGTATCAACTTCTTCAGGTCCAGTATGTTTTTCCTGAGAATGTTTGGAAGAAATTAAGTTCATTAATATAAAGACCATTATAATGAACCAAGTATTAAAACTCATTCTCTTCCATTTTGTCTTTTCTCTCACTACATGGCTTAGACCATGGAATTCTATTTTGATCATCTTTAGAACTGTAATTCTCAGGTCTCTGAGGATTGAAGTTCTATGACACCATGTCATTCATGCTAAGCTAATGCCTTAGGTTTACTTTGTGTCAGATGCTATGTTGGGCATGGTAATGTTTTGCTTGAGCTTTGAATTCAGACTTCCCAAGCAGCCAGTAACATATAATTAATCTGTTAATTACTATCTTTCTGAACTCTGGTGATAACGAATTAGCTTTTGCATTCTTTCCCTATTTACCTATAGAACCTTTTTTCTACTTAATCCCTATTAGCAATATGTTTGATACTTTTCTATCATTGTTTCTTGAGTTCTGTTTTTCTAACCAGGACTCAAGGTAGTATATCCTGTTCAATAAGTTTCTGTTTTTAGTCTGTAAAGTGTTGTGTGGAGACAGGGTTGTACTAAGTTGCCTGGGCCCGGTTTGAACTTGTACCTTTTAAGTGGTTGGATTACCGCTAGCATACTACCTTGTAAAGTTTTTTGAAGTTAAATTGTCATTTTGGATCACACTGCCAAAACCTCACTGATCTCTTTACTGTTACTGTTTGTCACACCCTTGGCCCAAGGTGTTATATTGTTAACGATGAAAATAAAGGCCATCTTTTCATTTGAGTTGCCCTTCTTGGAATGAGAGTAAGGAGAATGTCTTTACAATGTCATTTTGACAGTAAGAAAACATTTGGAAATCTTTCATTCAGTTTGTCTGAATAAAGTAGCAAACAGTAGTTAGTTCTCTGCATTTTTTTTTTTTTCAAAATCCAGATGTGCTCTGACAAATCAGTCCATCAACTAATTAAATCCATATATAGGGAGCCATTGTATATCATATTAACTTAAAAATGTAGACTAGGTGTCCTGATCTTATACTTGTGAGCCAAATATAAGGATAGAATTTTGCCAATTTGTTACTTTTTTAAGGAAATTATTTGGTATTTGTCAATGTTAACAGAGATTTATATAAGTGGATTTTCTATGAAGTAAAAGTCAAATGCTATAACTCATGTATGCATGAAGTAACACTGATAAACATTGTTATATACTGACTCATTGTAAAGAACTTCAATGATTTAAAACATAATTTCAATTGGAAACATAATTTTTTTAACAACTAAGGATTTTTAATATATGACTTTTTAAGTTTACTGGTACTGAAAATGAGCAGTAAAATTAAAGTAGCAAGTCTTAAGTTAGTGGTATTGAATAATATTTCATAAGTTTTAACATAGATGCTCATTGTTTTCTATGTTCAGAATCTAGTATTTGTTCTTTTAATTTTTTTCTTATTCTTTGTTTTAAATAGCCCTGAAAAACCTGTCAGTGTGACAGTAAATTTTGAAGATGAACCATCAAAGAAATACATGGATGCTGAAACTTCCTTATAGAATTGAACCAAGCAGAATTATATATAGATATAGATGTATATCTATAATGTGTGTGTGTGTGTCATATCACTATAACAATATACGTCATGCTATGTGTGCGTGACACGAGTTTTTTGAAATAATATCTGGTTTGTTACATACACCACAGAGACTGTGTATATTAATGAAATAATCTCTTAGACATGAGGTACATGGTTGTTATTAAAATATTCTGTTGGAAAAAAGATTTTCTGTTCTGCAGTACAAAGATGTGGAGAAATGGACAGTAGGCTTTTCTTAAATCTTTTTGTTCATCCGTGGCAGTTCATAACCAAACTTGTGTGGTACATAGTTTATATATTTATCATTTTTATTTGAGTGTCTAAAAATATTCACATATTATTTCACCTATTGTTAACCTATAGTTAGCTTAGTACTTTAAAGGGAGAATTCTTTGTCAGTGCTGTGAGATAATAACATGTCACGGCTTCTCTGTTTTATATCTGGAGCCATCCTCCACGTTGCAGAAGTGATGGCATTTTCTTGGCCATACAGGTGATTGGACAACAGTGGAAACTTCAATGTAGGAACTATAATTTTTAGCCTTTAGTTTTAGGAGGTTTTTTAAAAAAAAATCTGGAAGCTTCCACATCTGTGCTTCTATTCTAAAAGCCAAATAAATTGTAGGTATTTATAACTTTGCACCCATGGTAGTTGTAACTTGGTGGATTTTAGAAACTATAAAATGCCATTTGCCATGAATTTTATTACCTTTATAGAAATTATTTTCCCAATTTATACTTTTTTAGAAGTCATAGATTCTCTTCTATTTGCAATTGTTCTCTTAAAATGAAGTCATTTGTATTAGGTTCAAGTTCTTGATTAAGTTTCCATTGTAAACAGTATGATCAAGTAATCAGGAGTCAAAATTCTCTCATGGGCTTATGATCAGTATTTATTAAGAATTACCTTTTTCTTACTGTTATTTTTCTTGTATAGATTATATTTAATAGGTTGTGCTCCACAGTTTCATTTTAAAATATCTTATTGATATGCTTGTTATGTAAACATTTGAAAAGGTAACCATTATAAACTGTTAATGTACATAATTAATGCTCACTTGCATTTATGTTTATTATCTGATAGAAATTGACATATTTTTCATCTTTAATATAAAGCACTGCCATATTTGTCTTTTAAAGAAAATTAGCTCATATTGATGGCATTTTTCCTGTTTTGTGTTAGTATATCTTAATTGTTTTTTCTGAGATACCCTTTTAACTTCTAGAATATCATTTTAGTCCTTTTTATATACTCTTAGCTCCACACAGAATAAATAAATGTTATTGTTAAGCTTGTAGGACTGGATGAATGGGGTTGTGAAACTGATTTGGCAAGAGACTAATTTACAAAATCCAAGTGAATATTGATAAGCTACAGAAATACTGGAGTTGACGACATGACTATTAAGGAAAGAAACTTAGTGAAATTCCAATGTTCCCTTTCATCACTTATAATTAAAATGCAAAATATAAAGAATTGATCTTTAAAAAGATCAGAAGAAATGCCAAAAGCTGATATTGTAACAATTCTAAAGTGTTTTCAATCCATTCTAAACTACATTGTAGCTGATATAATTTCCTCTTCTGCAGATTCTAGTAAAATAATGAATTCAACTTCTGCCTCAGCTGAGATGTTGGAATGTAGCTGCTTTTCTTTAGAAAATGTAGTTGGCCTTATTTGGTACAGCCAGAGAAAGAGTTGTAGACTCTATTGGTGATTGAGGAGAGTGTTACCCATGGTGCTTATTACCGCCGTGTGCTTCCATTTAAGTGATTACTTTTTATCCATAGCAGCACAGTCAGTTCCAAAGTCCCCGGTATCTGCTGCTATTTTTAAAACTCCCCTGATGTACTTAAACAAGAAAATTTCCTCCTCATTTCCTTGTATTTGGACATCACAGGGTTAACAAATGCACTTACTTTACAGGAAGTGATTTTAAAATTTGAACTGAAAACTACCTGGGCTCATAGTGTTTCTCTGATATTATATGATTATGTATAGTCATTATCCAGTGCTAGGAAAACCATAACTTGCAAGATACATAGCATTCAAATATTCTACTATTTCCAATTATTAATGGCTTCTGTTTTCTTTTGACTACTTGATTCGCAAAATGATTGCTATATGACTACTCCATTGAAGAGCAAAGGTAACTCGTGTTTAAGGAGTTAACTGCTTGATTAAGTGGAATCATGGATAGCATTCATTGCAAGACAGTAAAAGATATAATTTAATGTATATTGATTTTTTTAAGTGTTGCCTTAAATAGGTTTATATGAGCAGTAGTAATTGCTATGTACTGATTTACCTCAAGGTGCAAAATAATTAAACCTGTGCATATTCCATTTACAAAATAAATTTAAACAAACAGCCCTGCACTTTCTTAGATGCCTTGATTTTCAGAATGGAGCTTAGTGCTACTGAATACCCTGGCCTCAGAGCCATCTCAGGATATTCTTTTCTCCACCCTATTTTATTTATTTATAGATGTCTGTTTACAAAGACTATAATAAATTCTGATGTTAACCATCTGAAATTTACCTTCAGTTGCTGTTTCAATCTAAAATAGTAGCGTTTGAGAAAATAGCTGAGTTCCTTACAATAAAAGGGTGACTATATATTTTTAATATTAGATATGCCGATACACACAACTTTCTAAAGCAATTTGTGTGTGTGCGTGCATGTGTATGTGCGTGTGTGTGTGTGTGTGTGTGTGTGTGTGTGTGTGGTTACCAATCTTAAATCTTTTATGTTTAAAGCTGTGGCATACCTATGTTCATACTTGCCAAGTCTTTTGTAAAATGTGTTGGATAAAATTTTTATGTGCTAATGCATGTATTTATAAAGATTTGTTTACCACTCAAAATTAATAACTTTTGTTTTCTTCTTCCAAAAAGATTCTGTTTTCCACAAACTCAAAGTTTCTGTGTGAGTATACTAGTTGTCTGTTTGCTTTCACAAAGATGGATTCAAAATTCTGTGAAAAAAAGAAAACCCAAAAAACAAAACAAAACAGCAAAACTGGTCTCTGAAACTGAAGTATACTACCCAAGCTTGCTACTGAAGGGGTTTTTATCATGTACATCAGTTCTATAAGTGTGCTTGACAGTTGAACATGTGAAACACCTGCTTCAGAGCGCTCAGATGTTGGATATGTAAGCCATCACTATGACATTACAATTCAAACTGTTTAAGTAACTTAATGTTTTAAATTTATTTATGTAGATTCACATTGTTATCATATACAGTACCGTGTGAAATGTCTTGTATTCCAACAATTATTTATTTTTAGAAAGTTAAAGACTTTAAGGATAGTCAAGGTTTAAAATTGTATTAAAATTTCAAATTTGGCAATCTTAATGTCTCTTTTAGTTACTTCAGAAAGTAAAATGTATCAATTATAGAAAACATAGTTGAAAAAGGAATCATATAAAGATTTTTAAAATTTAATACTTAGAATAGTTGTTAAGCCCCACATTTTTTAAATCATTTTTTTTGCACATTGATTGGTTTTGTGCTGTGGCTTTTCTTACGTTGCTTAATTCAAGGTTTTTTGTTTTTTGAGGGAAGGGTCTTTCAATGTTTACTATGTTCAAATAAAAATTGAATTTTATTCTTCATTTATGTAATATTTGATACCTTGGTGTAATTTCACAGTATAGTTTTTATGACTTTTATAATTACAGTGATACTTGCTTTTGTAATAAAATCCAAAGTAAATTAAACATTAAATTGTAGAACTGATATTTTTCATTTATATGAAGTCATTCGTTACCCAAGTCTATAATGTGAACCATCCTGCCTTTCACATTTGTTTCATAATTGTGAGAAGAAAACTATTTTTTGTAGATGTTATTGAAATTGAAAAAGCAATAAAAGTCTCCTTAATTAGTTGTTGACTATTGTCTTTATGTTGTATTTTATTGGTAGTGTTGTATATCTTTCTCAGTTTGAGTAGAGGTAGGAGAAATAAAGGAATTAGTGGTATGTCCTGCCTCCTAATATTCATATGCTTTTGAAGATGAAAGACAGGAAAGAAGAAATAAAAACAGTGAAACAAAATGCTGTTTCCTAGTGTCATTTTTATAGTTAAAAAATACTGAAAATATCCTTTGTTAATGATGGCCTGACCTTTGTTGGCTTTTTTCATTTTCTCTTTAAAATGAAAGCTTTTTCCTGACTTTTTTTTAAAGGTTGAAAATAAAGTAATTTTTTGAAGTTTATTTTCCCCTTATTTTAAGGCCATCTTGCTGGGTGATAAATAGTGATTTGAGTAATACTGGTGTTATAGTTAGGCTTCATTTTTCTTTTTTGCTGCTAAGTTTATTACAAATTTTTTGCATTTTTTTGTGGTGGGGAGAGGTTCTACAGGGTGTTCAGGTTCTCACTACTGGATGGGACTGGTAGTGATCTCCCTGTTTAAACCCTCCCAAGAGCTGGGATTACAGGCAAGTGCCACCACACCCAGCCTCAATTGCTGTCTCAGTGTGCCCCGGGGGTGGGGTTGGCATGGCTGGCCTGGGGATCAAACCCCTGGCCCCTGTGCCAAATTGTTGTCCTTATTAGCCTTTTGTGTTCTTTGTATAGCATATTATATATCTATACTTTCCTGTGTTTTTAATACTGAGAAACTTCTACGTTTATTAATTTGATAATATATGAAAGTATGATGGTTTAGGGTGCTTGTGATTTTGGAAACTTCATGGGAAAGTTTGATTTTAGGAAAAAAAATTTGTTAATTTATAATTCCCATCAATTAAATATCAAATTTTTTAATGAGAAAAAGCTAAAGAGAAAAGGAAGCATGTTTTTTTCATTTGTTTGATTTGACATGGACATCCCTGTTTGTATGCATTTATTTAAAATGTTCCTGTTATTTGGAAAGCTGCTTTTTCCTCGAAAGCCTGTTTACTTCACGTTGCACTGAGCCTTTTGCTTTGGGTCTCCATAATCTTGCTTTTTAAGTGAGTGGGAAGTGTGTCCTAACTACCTTTTTCTCCCTCTTGGACCATTGGTCTAGAGGGATTTTAGAAGTTTGGGGAAGTGACTTATCTTGTTTGAGTTGATCTTAACTAAGTTACTTTTGTTTCTTATGCTGTAGTTAGGATTTTGCATTGTTTCACTTTTAAACTATGTAATTGACACGGTTCAAATGAATGAAATGTAGATTCATTTCAGGTTAGTAAAATTAGAAAACAGATTTGGGTTCTATGTAAGCTAATGGTTGATGCAGGCATGACCACTTGGGTTTTACACAGCACTGTCACATTGCAGAGGCACTGACCACTCTAGTGCACCTCACCTTTTCTTTTTGCTCTTGACGCATTTTTAGGAAAGGCCAAAATATTCCATAAGATGCTGCTTTTTGTTTTTATAGATGTAGAGAGATGAAAGACACGTTCCATCTACTGATGCAGATTAAGACTTGTTGCACGTCAATGCCTAATGGTTAGAATATGCATGTACAGTAGTATTTTTTTTTCACTCAGCCTTAATCTTTCCTACTTGTTACTTTTTTTGGTGTTTTCTTTATTGGTAACATTAATTCTGATGGTTTTATATCCTCTGAATTTTAATTAACTTATGCTCACCTGAATTTGGCTTTCATCTCACCTTTCTACATTCCTAAAATAAGGTCATGTTTTTGAATTTAAAGTGTGCTCAGTTAATTGCACAAATCCAGTTACTGTTATCCCATGGGGTTGCTTCTTATTCAAAACAAACATCAAGTAATGGTTCATTTTACTTCAAGCTTTGGGGAATTTCAGTAAGTTCTGACACACTGATGTGCATTTAGAGCAACTTAGGAGGCTGCGTAAGACCCCGCGCCTGAAGGGGCTGTTCAGGGCCTGTCCTTGTGATTGAGACAGGGTTTTGTGTTTTTTTTTTTTTTTTTTTTTTTTTTTCACTGTAGGCTCTGCCCTGCCTGGGACTTAGGAAGTTGCATGTTACTCTGGAGTGAAAAATAATGACTGCCAGACAGTGTGAACAGGTGAAATAGTATGAGGAAAGAATTTAATAGAGGCGGCATAAAGTTGGGCACTCTACACTTTATGTTCATTTCTAAAGCTCCATGATGTTAAGGGTCTTTGAGGCTTTAATACAGTGCAGCTTTTTTTTTTTTTTAATTACAAAATAAGCTGCAGACTCTCAGAAATTGAAGGGACTTGTCCAAGGATACAAAGTCAACCCATAATAGTTATAACACACCAGCCAGACCCCTTGATTCACTTATTTTCACAGTACCATTTTCTCACTCACTGCCAGAGACACACACTACACTTGAGTTACTGAAAATGCTTTGTGCCATGTGAAAGGTATTTAGCTCATTGCTCCGGCTTTTCCCCAATTGATTTTTTGCGTTGGGGAAATGATTTGATAATCTAGTAATTCTTGAAACACTCCAAAATGAAACTGCTTTCCCACCCATTTGCTTTTGAAAAACTGAGCACCTTTAATTAGGAAAATCACAATGTGAAGGCTGATTTACAAGCAGCCATGCTGGAGGCTACCCTTGAGCACTACCCGCCCTGCTTCTTGCAGCTTCAGGGTTGGATCCTGAGCGTTCTCCGGTTGCTGCGGCAACTCTAACTGGCGTTGTTCGTTGCTATGGCGCTCTGCACTAGGCAGCATAGCGGCTTCCAATTGGCTGAGATAGCTCAGCAAGGTGGAGGAAGAAGTGTTGGCATTGGCTCAGCCAGCGCCGGTTAGTGGCCTAAGGGAAGCGATTGAAAGCCCAACGGTGCAGCTGGGCTGGTCGCAGTGCGCCGAAGGTTGAGGGGTCAGAGTGAGAACTAAGGGAAGGGTGGGACCCCGACCCAGACCAGCCCTTGACTGTACCAGCTACAATGAGAACAATCTGAAGATTGGCCTGAAGGAGGGAATCGTCCCTCCAGCGCGGTGAGTGGGGCAGGAGCTGTGTTCCTCTGTGCCAGCCTGCTGCTGGAAGCAGGGTCTCTGGGGAGATACCCACAGGTCCTTGTGGCGCACCTGCGAGGCCTCGGGAGCTAGCTTCACTCATGAGGCAGGGACAGATTTCAGGCTGTGTCTCTTAGGTAAGTGAATGTTGAGACACTCTTCTAAGAAGATGGGGCTGAACTGAATGGACAGATGGGAGGAAAAAGTGCCCTTAGCAGTGTTTTCCATGTTGCTTCCAGTTCGATAAAGGAATTATTCTGATTAAGCCTCTGGAAGCTCATTCTTACTCTCTTTTGTGAGCATCACTTTTCTGCCTTTCCTTGGCATGGTGCTACTCTGGCTTTCCCCATGCCCTCCTGCTCTATCTGGATGAGTTCACTCTTTCCACGACCCCACCTCCAGCCTCCACTGCTCCCTTAAGAATCAGATCCCAAGACCCCACTGCCTGTTAACTCCACACAAGTACAAGACCAAATGCCATTTTTCCTCACCCCGACCAGGCTGCTGCTGCCCATGGGGTCCTAATCTTGGGCACCACCATCTGTCTAAAACCATATGCTAGGCAACCTCCGCGACACCACCTCTTCCTCTGCATCTCCATCGTTATCAAGGCTAGCCTGTCTTAATGAATGTGGAATAGACTCCCATGCTACTGTCTCCATTCTTACTATCTATCAAATTCCACTATTGCCTTAGTTAAATTTAATGTGTATCCAGCTTCCCTGATTTTAGCCTTGCACTATCCAACCCATTTCTCTCAGCACTCTTGAACCCTATTTCAAAATTTAAAAGGAGTTAGGAGATAGCTCTGTGTGAAGGCCCTGGATTCAATCTCCAGTACCAGAGGGGAAAAAAAATGTAAATGTGTTTCCTTTCCCTAGAATGTTGCAACTATCATCCATACCCTAATTCAAGCATCAATTAAGCCTTCCAAAGTTCCATCTTGGCTGTTTCCAGAGCATGCTGCATTGGATTCTGTGTCACATGGTTTGACCTATTGTCTGCACTACCTGCAATGGACATTTTCTTTTCTTTTCTGAATACACTGCCCATGATCATATTATCTGTGTTTTCCTGTTACTCTGCTTCTTCCTTAGACCCTTTCTGTGAAGGCAGGTACTATGTTTATCTTACCATTATTGTATTACCAGTATCTGGCTGAATATCAGGCAGAGAGCAAGTCTAATGAATTCTTGTTAAATGGCCTTCTGGTCAATGAAGCGTTAGTTTGTAAAAGATGGACACTGAATTTACAGGTTTTATTGCAGTTTCAAGATCTTTGGTAGTTGGAAATTATTTCAAGTCAGTCTATTTTATGCCTTAGTAGTTTTGATTATAGTTATTTGTCTAAAAGATTATAGTCTTTTTTGTTATAGTTATTTCTATATGGTGTCATAGTTACTTTCTCATACAACAACCAGGGCTCACAACTACAAAAAGGAAAGGTTTATTTGAGCTCACTGTTTGTTGAGGTTTCAGTCCATAGCTGGTTCCAGTGCAGGGCAGCATGGCACAAGGCTAAGCAGAGGTGGCTTGCTCATTGCACGGCAGCAAAGCAGAGTGAGAGAAGTCAAGGGAGGAGGGAAGGAAACTGATCCATTGGTAAGTATCCCTTCCCCAGGATCCAGTCATCTTCCCCAAGCCCCTGTGTCCTAGAAAGCTTTCCTGATTGAGTCAAAACATTCAATGCTCTTATGAGTATTGGAGGCTTTGGCAGGACATCTAGAAATAAGCCATAACATATGGCATGATTTAGGATTATTGGAAAGGGTGACAGCACGATATGGTCTGCAAGAAATAGACTGGACTCAAACCCTCATACAAGAGTTTGAGTCCTGAGTCTAACAGTTCAGCTTCCTAACCAGCTTTTAAAATCTGTACAATGGACTGATAACACCTGTCTCATAGAATTGTCTTAAAGATAAAATGTTCTACTTTATACCAGGTACATAGTACTTTATACATATGTATCAATTTTCACATTTATTTTATTTTATTTATTTTTTTGGAACCAGGGATTGAACTCAGGCCTGTGCGCTTGCCAGGCAAGCACTTATTCCACTGAGCCTTCTCCCCAGCCCTCAATTTTCACATTTAAACACATCCCTGATAGTTTGAACCACTGGTGGTACATGATGACTATGCCATTGGCTTGTACCACTCCATGGGACTGTCTCCTGCTGCTCAATGGGCCAGTCATTCATGTACCACCAGATATTCAGGGCTGCCCAGAAGCATGATATAGGAATTACAGCATATTAAAATTAAAATCACTGAATGTTTGAGTTGTGAAATTTCCATGCTCACTTACTAAAAAGTAAAATAAATTTATGACTCAACCAAGAGCAGTTTCTGTAACACCATTTGGTCATACTGGTTAGTCATGAACTTTTGTGTATGGTAACAGCTCTGATACAGCTAACACTCATTCAGTGAGTGTGTGTGAACCATGTGTTGGGTCCAGACTTCATGCCAGATGAAGGTGGGTCTAAAAAAAGTGCAGCCTACAGTATTTAGGAAGTTAAAGAAGGACTTGGAACTGTCCATGCCAAAGCCAGTTATACTTTGAGTTTGAAGTTAGAGTTGAGCATGTGGATAGGCAGAGAGGACCTCAAAGTACATTTAGACATCAGTATTTACTGAGAGTCTGAGCATTCAACAGTACGCAAGACAAAGGGACAGTTCTCTTCTAGCTGTTGTCAGATACAGTGGAGCTGAGTCTAGAAGACTCAGACTCTCCAACCAGACCATCTAGATTCATATCCAAGCTCCCACACCACTCAGTGTGGGGCTTCTGACAAGTTGCTGAACCTTTTGGCCCCAGAAGTCCTGCCTTGTAAAGGGGTGTTTGTAAGCCTTTCATGAATTCACACAGCAAGTTCTGTGGCATAGTGGTAGGTATATAGCAAGTATTGTGTATTAGCTACTTATATTATATTCTAGGTGAGAAAGATAAGAAAGCAGAATGAGGGAACAGTGTTTCAGGCTAGGGTGGACTTGGGAAGAAGTCATGTTTGGGGGAGATTTGATGTTCTAGTAGAAAGTAAATTTTACATATACTCACATAACTGACATGAATCAAGGTTAGGAAAAAATAGAACATAAGCACTGAGTAGGATGCATTGTTTCTTATTTGGTAAAAGGATTTCCCCTCGTTTTTATGAGTCTTCCCCTCATCTAAAATCTTGAACAGGCATAATGAAAATCCTGAATTTAAGGGCTTATGAAACCTTATATTGGGATCTTTATAATGGACATGAATCCTAGCTTCAAAGTCAGCAGGTCAGAGTGACAAAAATGACAACTTCCTGGCTCATGTCTAGCAAGAAGACAGTAAAGCCTCTGCTGCAAGAATTGAAACCTAGAGGCAGAGCAGACAGACACAGCAACTGTCACATTGACTTTGGGCAGCCAGGGAAAAGCTATGTAGAATTTACAGTTCTTTACCAAAGATAAAGGATTGTTGATTGATTTGAAGGAAGTATGTAAAAGGTATATTTGCTTATTAAAGAGTGTAATACTTATTTAGAAACTTCAGTCAGACCAACAGAGTGCTGGATGAATGCCACTAGTAGCAAGGAGGTGGTACAACATTAAGTTAATAGGGAACACTCTGCTACCTGTCAGCCATGTAACCCAACAAGTGACAATGTCTCTGTGCCATATTTCCCTCGATGGAGACAATAATGCTGTCTACCTTAGAATTTGTTAAGCCTTGCTATAATATGTAGGAGGCACTTAGCATAGTGGGGGCGCAGAGTGGCACCGTGTAAATATTTGCTCTTAGTATTTATGAGGTTGGGGCCAAGTTACTTAGATTTTTAGTACCTCTGTTTCTTCGTCTGTAAATTGGAGTTAGAGTATTACCTACCACAGAGGGAGGTTTTGAGGACAAAGTAAATACACCAAAGTGTTGACAGGTGATTGCCCTATTATCTTTTCAAGACTGAAAACTTCTTAACATTGATGTAATTTTATATCAAATACTTGTCGTCCATTAGTCAAAGTGCGTACAAACCAATGATTCAAAAGAAGCACCAAGTCCTCAAACTGAAGTAGTAGCATTACGATTTTGTCCCAAGACCACACTGCCATCGGAATATTACTTCTAATTTTTGTTGAATGAGGAAACTAATGATCAGAGAGATCCAGAGATCCAGGTCACTCAGGCGACAGATGAATCCAGGACTTCTCTGCCTCCATGCCTCCTTTTGACTGTATCCCAAGCATCTGGCCAGAAGGGTTCACACCACCTGCCTTGTAGCTTCACATTAATGGAGACTAAGTTGTTCACATAGCCATGTACACATGTGTGCTACTCTTGAGCTAATCTGAATACATTCTTTTGCTTTAGGAAGTTTTATTGTCCCGTTCAAGACACACGAATCAGTCCATGTTTTATATGACATAATCTTCTTTGTGACTTCCTTGTATATATAGAGTTCTTTTCTCAAACCAACATGCTATAATCACTGTATATGGGTCCTATGGGACAAAGTTATAATTTCTTGCTTCTTTTTATAGTCTTTATCCTCCATATCTGAATAATGATATTCCAGTTGTATTTAGACCTTCCCAGTCACATTTTACTGGCGATTTGTTCATTAATTAATACATTGAGTAATTTTTAATTGAATATACCTTTGTGAATTCAGTGCTATATGCAGGAGATGCACAAAGTGGCTCTCTTCCCTATGCCTGCCTAGTTTACAGTAAACTGAAGAAGATAATTTATTGCGTTACTGCCTCAATCTTCAAGAGCTACAGGCCAATGCTTGGTGGCCCTCTGATACTATTGAAGAGGTCTGCTCAAAGAATAGATGCTCAAGTTGACCAGAAAGATGACCCTTCCAGCCTTTTGGTACTAATCCAGCCCAAGGGGCCCAGAGTCAAGGCCCTGTAACATCCAGGAAAAGCAGCTCTGGAGCCAGAATTTAGGACCAAGTCTTTAGAAACGGCCAGAAGGCAGGAACCAGGTGCAC